TACCCAATTCTTGCAACCGGTCTTCATATGTTTTAGCCTCCAGGCCTTTAATCATCCTAGTTGCTCTTCTCTACACTTAAAAAAAAAAAGTGCCTTAGGGACATAAGGGGCAGAGCACACATTTTATCCCTTGCATGAGAGGAAAACTGAGGATTTACCTTTTTAATGAACCCTCTGGACAATTCTGGATCTTTCTCCCCCACCCCAATAGGCACCGGCCCATTTCTCCCTTTATCCTTCTCTTCCCGCAGCTGCCAACCTTATTTTAGCCCAGATTAAAAATCCCTCTCTTGATCCGTTGCAGAGCGAGCAAGAGAAGGTTGTTTAAATGTGATTTCTCTTCCGGATGCAAATGTGGCCGGACCTTTGGATCCTCCCACTCCATCTTGTGCTTTTTTTTTTTTTGGTGGGGAAGGCCAGTTTGGGAAGGCAGCCCTCCCTTCCTTCTCCCCCCCCCTCCCAAGTCCTGCCCACAATGTAGTCAAAGCAAGAGTGATCGCATTGGCAGGGCTCAAAAAGAGCTTTGTGGAGCTGAAAAGAGCTGGCTGCCTTGCACCACAGGCACTGAATAGACACATCCTTAATTAGCAGGGCTTCATCAAGGAAGCTAATGAGGAGAGGTAGAGGGAAGACCGTTTTGGGAACATGCTCCAAGAGAGAATTGCCCCATTTTCTTTCTATTTGTAAACTCTGGGCCATTCCAGCAGTTCTGAATAAGCAGATCCCTTTAAAAAAGAGAGAGAGAGAGAGAGAAAAGAAAGGGAATTGGGTTATGGAACAGTGTTTAAAGAATATCTTTCAACAAGGCAGCGAAAAAAGGGAGAAGAAAAGAGGCAGCCGAAGGAAAAAACAGCCCTTTTGGCTGTCTATGCACAATTGCCCAGAGTTGGCACTTGCTGATTCCCCCCCCCCTCTTGCCAAGCTCCTTTTTAACTGGCCTGGGGGGGTTGCCTTGGGCAGCCTGCAGCGGTGCTGCAGCCTCGTGCAATTATTTAATTGGATTAAGAAAGGGGGGGGAGAAAGAAAGCTTGTCCCATTTCTATATTGGCAACAGGCAATCGAGCCATTTCAATGACCCACTTCTGGAAGAGATTGTGGAGTGGCCTTTTGCACCAGTGACCCACAATTAGGGGACACCAAATTGCTTCCCACTGTGGTTGAAGAAGAGCAAGAAACATTCCACCAGCATCTGCATTTTGCTGGTTAGGCTGTTGGATTTGAGGCATTGGCCATTGCTTGAGTTGAAGTTCAGCCTTGTGAACTTTCAGCTGGGTGGGCTTCAATTCCCAGAATTCCCCAGGCAGCATGCTTTGAAATGCTGCATGGCTGGCTGGAGAATTCTGGGAATTGAAGTCCACTCATCTTGATGATGATGATGATGATGATGATGATGATGATTAATAATAATAATAATAATAATAATAATAATAATAATAATAATAATAATAATAATAATAATAATAATAATAATAATAATAATAATAATAATAATAAAGTTGGAGGTCATCTAGTCCAACCCCCTGCTCAGGCAGGAAACCCTACACCATTTCAGACAAATGGCTGTCCAGTCTCTTCTTTAAAACTTCCAGTGTTGGAGCATTCACGGGTTCTGGAGGTAGGTTGTTCCACTGATTAACTGTCAGGAAGTTTCTCCTTAGTTCTAGGTTGCTTCTCTCTTTGGTTAGTTTCCACCCGTTGCTTCTTGTCCTGCCTTCAGGTGCTTTGGAGAATAGCTTGACTCCCTCTTCTTTGGGGCAGCCCCTGAGATACTGGAAGGCTGCTATCCTGTCCCCCCTCGTCCTTCTCCTTCATTAAACTAGACATACCCAATTCCAGCAACTCTTCCTTATATGTTTTAGCCTCCAGTCCCCTAATCATCTTTGTTGCTCTTCTCTGCACTCTTTCTAGAGTCTCAACATCTTTTTTACATCATGGTGACCAAAACTGGATTCCAGACTCCAAGTGTGGCCTTACCAAGGCCTTGTAAAGCGGTATTAACACTTCATGTGATCTTGATTCTATCCCTCTGTTGATGCAGCCAACTAGCATGATGCCAGAGTTCAGCTAAACTCATTTTTTTCCTGGGTTTTGCCTCTTTCGTTCACTAATTGCATCTCCCTTTTACTCTGTCCAGTCCCTGGGCAGCTTTATGAAATCAAGCTGGTAGCTTTCAACAAACAGGAAGATGGCTATGCGGCTGTATGGAAAGGCAGGACCGAGCGAGCACCTGTAACAGCAGCTGGTAGGTATCTTCTTGTTAACTGTTGAATTAAAAAGAATATTTGCAACTGCTTCAAA